TTTTGCAAGAACCACTCCTATTTATATAGTCACATGCAAGTCAAAAGTTTCATACTATAATAATATAAAGTATTAACTTGACATTAGAAGAATGGGGAACAAGAGATGTAATGGATCTTAATAAGCGACCTCCCATGTTTCTAGATAATTTCTATCCATTGTGTAGTTGAAGGAAAAGACAAAATTATTAGCTAGTTAGACTAACTAAATAAAAGTAACTGACTAGTAAGTCTAAAGTTAACCAAAATGTCCAAAACTTGGTACACGACTTATTAAATCATAACATATGATATAATAACTAGATTTACTCTCTTTAATTGTTATTTTCACAAAAAAATTATTATTCCCTAATTAAATACAAGAATCAATATTATTTATTAATAATTATATTGTCAGCAATATCACTCAATAAGGATTATTGGGCACCACTTGCACAAGACTCATTATAGACTACATTAAACGACAATGACATATAACAACGGGTTACTACCTTTAACAATACATGAAGGGTGATATCCTATTATCAACTAATTGTAGGAGCTCAAAGCTGCAATTGCTATATAACTTGTGGTACCAATTATTCCTTTGTCTTAGACATCATATTGAACATGAGATATGGATCACAATCAATCTCATTCTATATTGAACTTTTAATATGGCCTTGGATCTGTAACTCTCAACGATTAAGAGGAACAAATATTATCTTGACTACATAAGCCTATGATGTAGTCCATGTTATACCCAATGATGGCCCATATGATCGCCTTTTATAGAAAAACGTTATACCATGTCAAAGCGTAGTAATTCCTACACTTCAAATCCCAAATATATATCTCGGGTCGATAAATACAAAGATACAACATTTATCAAAAACATCACTCATGATTATGACCCAGAAAGTGATTTTGATGCAAGTAGGGTCCAATGCTTATTCTCCTAATCAAGTACCTAAGAATTTGGTAGAAGCTCTTTCTATTTTCATCTCCATGAAAATCAACAAATCCACTCATATTACTCTTACCTCATATATGCTAATATGGAACACAACAATTATTTAAAGAAAGATTATATCCAATATCTCAACTCAAGAATACACGTTGATCGTATTGTTCCAATATCCAAAAACTAAATTTCAATGAAATACATCTACTTATATCAAGAATGCCCTATAACACCAACTTGACTTTCAAGCTTTGAGCTAATGAAGGACAAATGTTAAGTAGATATGACAAACTTGATGTGAATAAACTTTACGAATACATAAAATTTTAGTTTTATATATAACTCATATATATATATATATATATATATATATATATATATATATATATATATATATATATATATATATATATATATATAGAAAACAATTTTAGAATGTATTTGATGCTTAAATATGAATTAGATAAAAATACTTATCTAATGGATTACTCATAGTCATAATGAACTATAGATTATGCATTTTCTATGTGGTTCCTCGAAAAACAATGTACTTTGACTTTGATGTGTAACTGTAATTAAACTTTACATGGAAACACTATCCATGTAACTTTCTCTAAATTTAAAATGAGTACACACCCGATTGTGATTGAGGATCATCTCAATCTATTTGGAAGTTTAGCATATGTGTAACAACTTAAACACAACTTTCTTTCAAATATTTTATAGATTAGGAATATTTCATTAGTTCTCGCAAGTACCTTAGAATGTTCCTTTAAGTCACACCATGAGTTATTCTTGGAATATACCGGTGTCATTCAACATGGTCTAGGCACACGACTTATTTGGCCTTCATGCATAATCATGAAATATATGATTAATGAAATTGCAACAGTATATCGAATACAATCATATTGTCTAGTTCAAAGCAATATACTATGATTTTAAGGAGCGCTCAAAATCTTGTCATGTTATATTTGACAAGATAGCTCTCTTAGAGTCCTTTATCTTAAGCTCTTTGAGATCCTTGACAATTAATGCAATTTCACTTAATCCTTTAAGTTGCACTAATCTATCTATATAGATCTTTATTCCAACAATTAGTATGTAAATCACATATAATACTAGGAGTGTTACTGAACTCGTACTAGCTTTGTAGAAAACACAAGAGTCACCTTAATTTTTAATTAAATCACAATATGTAATTATCTTATAAGAAAGAAGATTCTTACTTTGAGATGTCATTTTGAATCTGAAAATATTTTCATTCACCTATGTTTTCTCCTTTCAAAACTCATTTACTCTTTATATTCTTAATATATCGAGGAAGATTAGTTAAGCCCATGCTTAATAATCATAAATGAATGCATCTTTACGTGTTCTATTAGTTTCTGATCAACAATTGAGCAGATTTAACAACAGTTAAAAGCTTCCTAGTTCAACACTATGATTCATTTAGTTTATGGTTCTTTAGCCCTTAAAGTTTAATATAACTACCACTAAGAAAAATAACTTTCTAAGTACTTGTCTTCTAGAATGACAATCAGTGGGATTGTAGAAACTTCATCCTAAATAATCAATTAGGAGAGTCTATATAAATGCAAATAGTTGATGTTAGAGTGACTTAATTCTATTTTCTAACATAAGCTCTATACCTCTATACATTTTAACAAAGATATATCCCATGTGCGCAAGAGGGATCCAAGAGCAAATATTATATTTTATTTATGTCTAGCAAGTCCTTATGGGCCCTACAATGATGTCATGTGTAGCAAAACTTCCAAAAAAAACAATCCTAGTTTGGTGTATCGAGATCCCGACATCAAATAATTTTGTTGAATGTGCTGTATGATAGATGCGAGTTCAAGGATTCCAAATACCTGAACAAATTAATTTTTCAAGTTGTAGAACTCTAGGAAATCTCGTTTAAAATTTCACGTCTAACTGTCCCCAAACGCTTGGTCTTTCAAAATTTTAAAATATTTTATCTAAAAATATTTCGACTATGAAATTAAATATTAGACCATAGCCTGTGTCCAAAAACACTCTTGGAATTTACATTTAAGATGTGCAAGTGCTTCAATGGATCAATTTGGTTTTAGTAGTTTAAAGAAAATAGTATTTTACTGGCTTGTTTTCTTATAGTTCTCATATCTTTTGCATGCAATCTTCATTTTGGACGTTCTTTATATTGTGGAAACATGGGATATGCCCTCTTCTTGCCCATGTGAGATGTGCCCTCTTCTTCTTCTTTTTTGGTTGACAAGCTCCCTAAAAGTAGTAAGCATGGTTAACTGAAGTGTCTGACCATCTATCAAGGCATGGCCTTGCATGGCCATTGAGAGGAACACTTCATTACCGCCAACACTAGAGATCAATTATTTGTTATATTCTCGTTCATACATATGTGGTTAGGAGGAGGAGGATATCCCTCTCAAGATTTCATTCCAAATAATTGAATAACCCCTTCCCATGGATTTTTTGTTGGTAAGATGAGTCTCATCTCAAACTTCATTCCCATTTAATCAAAATCAACCTTTATTTGGTTAAGTTTGACTAAATGACGACTTTTTGAATTGTTTTAGAAAATTAACCCTACAGTTAAGCTATGTTACAAAACAACCCCATAGTTATTCATTTATACCAAAACATACTTTTGGTTAATTAGGTAAGTAAATTACTCTTGATGGTTTGTTTTAGAAGCGACAAGTTGCAGTTTCCCTCATGAAGTTTCTCGAAATAAACCGATAATCACACATTTAGGTGAGTGTTACAGCCCCTCTTTTATATTCTATTTGCTTTGGGAGAGAATACTTGTTCTCACCGATACTATTTTTTGCAAAAATAGACATAAAATGTTATCATTTTATGTGAAAACCATAAACAGTTTATAAAATGTTGGATTGACACACACACACACACATACATATATATATATATATATATATATATATATATATATATATTATGAAACCATAAATTAGTTTTAAACCTCGATATTTACATATGTTATACTGCTAAAATAATAAAACTAATCAAAATGACATATGCCATTTTACTACAAAACCCTATGATTTTATGTTACATTGTATCTTATAAGAAGTATGTCATAAAACTTTGTAGCATATTATAAAAGTATGTGACTTATGCCATTTTACTACAAAACCCTATAATTTCATGTGACATGGTACTCTTTTTATAAAAGCAAGTACTTTACACCATACATACATACCAGATACACTCTGCTACTAGAAACTTCATACAATTCATTTTCTCAAGTAACTTATCCACTTATAGGTTAGGGCTGAGAGCTATTCACATACCTTAGTTAAGGGCTTTTTAGTGAGAATATATTCATTAGCTAAGTCTAACCACTTAGCACACCCACACTACTATAACTGTTAATCTTCAAAGTGGGATATCTATGTATACATCTATACGAGGTTGACATCGCCACCTACGGTTTCTATTTACAGCCTTGACCAATCAATCGAAGCCAATGATAAGTATCTACTATTGTTACTACAACGTACAATGAAGCATTGTAGGGGTTATTCAGTCACATAGCTCAATTACAGGACTCACTATAAACAATAACTAGAATCTCTGTATCTTACTACAAACATGGGGCTTGGTTGCTTGAAAAAACGATTTTAAGTATGGATTTAGTAACGTAATGATACATGTTTCTTTTCAAAACTTATGCAAAAACTATTTAGAGACACAATTTTAAGTATGATTTTACTTACAAACGAAAATACTTTTTGGACTTTTTAAAAGTATTACAGCTAATAGCAGAAAACTTGTAATTTCTCATCAACCTTGGGTTGACCCTTAAACCTACATGTATTATCAGGGAATCATTAATTCAAGCATGTAGACGATGGATAGTCAAGGATTTCGGGTAATCTGGTTTACTATTTTTTTTTTATGTCTGCCTACATGTTAAGAAAATTCATGTACTATTATTATTTGTAAGAACCATGTATTCAAACCTAAAGAAATAATATAAATTTTTTTGTTTATTTTTGTACTTTTGCTATATATTAAGTTTACTTCTAATGTATGAACTTTTTCACAAAGCTCGACATGTTCCACGGCCTCAGCCAGAGGTGTGACATATTAGCATCTGATCCACATTAGCTACTATGAACTCGTATCTTGTAAAGAGGAATACAACTATAGCAACAAGCTCCTAATAAAAGTGTTTTTATTATTAACTGCACTACTTCTTGACAACTCACACTACGGAGGAACTAGTTTGAAGGGCCGTATAGGTTGGTAGATTTAGAATAGCTTAATTGTGAAACTAAACCTGCCCTCCATTACTGCTTGTCTAGCCATTGTCCGTAGTTGGTAGTCTTGGAGTACAAAAAATAATAATAGTACTACAAACCTCACCGATAAATATATATAAGACTTATATATATATATATATACACACACACACACACTCTGACCCGCGATGAGTACACTTAATAAATGTCTAAACATCCTTTCAGCTAAAACTACCAACTCAACACTTTATGTCAAATGCTTCGATGAAATTTAATTTTTTACACAAGCCATACCACAAATAAATGTGGAACGTGCAACTATGTTATTTATGGATGGGCCGGTAAAATAGTTGAGAGTTTAAGAGATTCAAGAATGCTCTCAATATTCATTGTAGATACCTAGTACCTTAGAAACTTTATCTAAACCTTGAAAACACTTATAAGTTTTAAAACACTAATACATTTAAAATTTACTAACACACTTAAAACCATTTTATGTAGATGGTGGATTTACCCGATGAGCATCCAAATTGGATGGATATTACGGACCCAAATGAGCTTCAAAGGGTATCGATACAACTAGCTGAAGATCCATACTTACTTGAGAACGCTCCAGCCACCTCAAAAGACCTCTCAGAGGAAGAGGATCTGTCAGAAGACGAGGAGAACAATGATATTGAGGAGGTTGAAGTGTCTTATGCTTAGGCCATACTTCAAGATGCCCAAGAAATAGATGATAACGACCCCATTAAGGATGAGGAGGGTCTTACCGACGAGGAACCCACCACTCCTACTCCACCATCCAATTCTCCCTGGATATACTATCATCCTTATTGTCACATTGGTAAGGTTCCATAACTGGTGATCACCCTTAGGATGAGCATTCCTCCTATATACTACATGGACCCTTCTAGTCATGTTTCCCGACCAACTTGTGGTCAGCCGTGGAAATGGACCACGCCCTATGAGCCAGCTTGGCTCCCTGACTTACTCCACAAGAGGAGAATTACTAACCTCTCTCCATAATTCAAGATTGGCGAGTCTTCTAAGGCTCCGCTATTGACAACACTTGTAATGGCCGTAGATCCGGGCTAGTCAATTTAGAGACGATAAGCTTCAAAAAAAGAACTTTTTGATGGAAGATAATTTAGAAGGAGTAATCTTAACTAAGTTGTAGTATATGTTACAAGGATTCCTTGCATATAAAGAACGTCGAAATCCGAGTTATAATGAAGAAGTTATGACTTGTCGAAGTTTCGCGACAGAACCGACACGACACAACGCGACGTAAATAGTGAATTTACAATAGAGAGATATTTGGTCTTAGAGATCTAAACAGAAGTCTTAGAATACGTTAAACCGTGAACGTGCATAAAAAGAATGTCCAAATCTGACTTCGTATGAGGAAGTTACGATTTTTCTAAGTTTCAACTTAGCACTACGCAGTCCGAATACTCGATTTGAGACCAAGCGATTTTTAGCCGAAACAATCTAAATGAGAATTGATGATCTCGTTAATCGTAGTGAAACGATAAAAAGATAGGCAAAAACGGATGTCGGATGAAGAAGTTATGAATTTATAATGGAGTTTTCCTGTCCCGGCTACTAAAAATAATATAATAAATATAAAATCAAAATTAGCCAACAGAGTCTAAATGAAAGTTGTAGATCTTGTTTTTACTACGCGTCGATATAAAGAACGTCAAAACGGAGTTTGTATGCGAAAGTTATGAATTTCTGAACTTTAGGGTGTGAAACCCCAAAACTGTCAAATAGCATGACGTGGCAAGTCTTCTGACGCCTCCTAGAGTCCCCTAGACGCAACTAGCGATGACACATGCAGTGACACCCAAGCCTACGACATGGAAAAAGGTGCCACAACGTGGCAAGGGCAAATTTTCCCTATAAATAGATTTGAAGGGCTAGCCGTTTAGGGTTGCTATTTTCTCTCCTCTCTCTCCCGTTCTACCTCGATTTACATCCAAGAAATATGCCGAAGCCTGAACATCCAGAGAAGAAAAAGAGTTTCCGAGCTGAAGCTCTGGCCGCGAGGAGCCCGGTTTGTGTGAAGATCTTCCAGATCTACCGAAGAATACTACTTCTACAAGCCGTAGTGATGTCCAACCATCTTCTGATCATGTGAGTGTGTGGTCACTTTCTTCTAACACATAAATATTAAGTATTTGCTATGAAATACGTGCTAGGTGTATAATGTAAAGTTGCTTATATGTGTGAGTGTATAGTCCCTTTCATAACACGATTTTAATACAAGTATTGTTTGAATGTATTAAGTATATATTTTGTCTGATTGTGTGGTCACTTTCATCTAACACATAAATATTAAGTATTTGCTATGAAATACGTGCTATGTGTATAATATAAAGTTGTTTATATGTGTGAGTGTATAGTCACTTTCATAACACGGTTTTAATACAAGTATTGTTTGAATGTATGGAGTATATGTTTCGTGTGAATGTGTGGTCACTTTCTTCTAACACATAAATATGAAGTATTTGTTATGAAATACGTGCTATGTGTTTATATATTATTGTTTATTTGAGATGACTGTGGAATGGATGTTTTATATAGTTTTTAAATGAGTTAAACTGTATATGTATTTTATATCTACAAATATTTTGGGTAGAACATGGGTAGATGGGATAGATGGTGTGTGATAAAAGGATGAGTTGGATAATGAGATAAGTGGTTATATAGATCTTATGACGAGGGTGACAAGTGGAGAATGAGTGAAACCTTTGCGCAAACAATGGCCCCTATCATTCAGCAGAGTAGGGATGACAACCACAGACTATTCTAGATAGTCAGTGGAACACTAGTAGGATCGCAACTTGTAGGTGTTTGTGAACAATGTTTTCACCGGTGTAGTCTAAAAACCCATTGACATGTATTGTGATAGGGATCTCGAGAATGATACTATCAATAAACAAGATAAACTTGTCATTAGATCTGGGAGTATGAATCAGATTAGGATTTATGTATAGTAATTTACACCTAGTTTGGCAGTATGTATTTGGTATAGTTTTAGATACGGGAGTATGGATCAGACCAAAAGGTTAGTTTTAGATCCTGGAATATGGATCAGGTGAAGAGATTAATTTTAGACCCGTGAGTAGGGATCAGGTGAAGAAGAAAATTTTAGATACGAGAGTTAGATCGTGTCATTATGGGGATCGATGGGGAAGGATATGAGTTGTTTTTATATGGTGAAATTATATAAGTTTGTGAGTTCTATATATATATATATATATATATATATATATATATATATATATATATGTATATATATATATATATACATATATATATATATATATAACATTGTGGGTTGAAAACCCGATATGCTTACCAGACTCCCAAGCATGACCCACTCAGTTTTCTTTGTATCACAGGTATCAATACGAAGACATATTTCATTGAGAGATTAAAGAGATGTAAATCATTAGTGTAAATAAATGTAAGTTCTGTTTATGCTTATGTGTCTTTATCGGAACATGACATCCCGAGATTTTGTTATATAATGAAAATACATTTCTTTAAAGGAATGCTTTGATAAATTCGTATCATATTTTGTTTTGGGAACAAATTCCGCAACTATTTTCTTTAAAAGATTACTCTAATTTTAAAAACAAAGCATAAACAAATCGGTCTTTTCTGGCCGTGAAATTGGGGATGTCACAGTTGGTATCAGACCATTAGTTTAAGCGAACTATGAATTTGTTGGAAATTTCTAGACTTAAACTGAGAATGCTAAGCAATGATTGTGAGGAGTGTGTCTAAAATATGTTAGGTAGTACACCTAAGTTGACACAAGCACTAGTTTATTTTAGGAATGATGCCTAAAATTCTTTTATGTGCTAAATGTTTTGTGAGATAGCTATATTAATGCTATTATTTGTTCGGATCCATGTTGTGTTGCCAACCAGATCTGGAAACCTTATGTGTTTAGGATTCTAAGCGTATGACTACGATATTAGAACTAGCATGTAAAAGTTTCAGAGTGAGAAGGATGATTTAAATATCTATTGTGAATGAGGATCTAAATCCACCTTACTCGGCGTTTAGATCAATATGGCAAGCACACAAAGCGGACTAGAAAATGATAACCCACAGGCTGAGTCACAAGGGATTTGGAGTGCACCAGAAATAACAACTGCACCCGAGCCAATTATGATGGCAGAAGTATACACAACGGTGTGGATGATGTTGGACCAACAGATGAAAGAAACATGGTGTTTACAAAGTAAGGAAGAACTTGTTGTGCCAGTACGCCAGGCAGCTATTCTTGAGGCAACTATCTGGGTTGCTAAGTTAGTTGATGAAATGATCGACGATAGGACCGTCAACAAAGTTGAACTTGGAAAAAGAGGAAATTTGTGGAGTCTTCGTGGTCCAACAAAAGTAACATGTTCTCGTAGTCTAGAAAAAATGGAGGTAAAGAAAAATGGTGCGGGAAATGCAAAAAGAAAAACCATGGATATTATGGCGAAGAGGTGACATGTTTTAAGTGTAGAAAGCATGGGCATTACGCCAACGAATATACATTCATCGAAAGGGTATGTTACGAATGTAATGAGGCAGGGCACTTCAAGCAGGATTGCCGAAAAAGGGAAGAAGCTACAAAGCTAAAGGTACTGCTAAAGCATTATGAGAGATGCGATGAAGAGGTGACTTGCTACAAATGTGGAAGGAAAGTCCATTATGCCAACAAGTGCACATCCGCCAAGAAGGTATGCTACAAATGTAATGAACAAGGGAACTTTTTCTAGAGATTGCCCAAAGAATAATGAACTAGCAAAGCTAAAGGCATTCCACATGATCCTCGATGAAGCAGAAATCAAACGCGAGGATTAAAGGATGAAGACTTCATATCTATGTATAGAGTATGTATCACGAAGTGTAGCCTACTAGAAGCGTAGTATAGGGTGAACTTGAACCTTTGTGTAATCATTTCAAGAAATAATATAAACTCTAGTTTTGCTAACTGATGTGTTGAATTATTGTTTGATTTTCTTGGATGGTGACTTCGTCGACTGTGGGACAATACTTGGGATGAGTATGAGTATACTACCAAAAGCACAGGACTCGCACTTGGATCAGGGAAAGCCACAAGGTTACCAAGAAGCTAGTAACTGATTCCGTTTTGTTCAAGTGTGTCATTACCCTTGTTTCGATAGTGACTAGTAAGATGGTAGTTATTCTGACCATAGTGGTCATATCAAGTTGAGTCCGACTACGATGAGTTTCTTACGTGGTTCATGGAACCAAGATTGATGTAACATCTAACCTAAGTCAAAAGATTGAAATCAATGCAATCGATAGCATCACGCTCATTGTTAAGGAAGCTTGTAGCTAAAAATGCTACATGTAAGAATGTGACTATATCACGTTAGAATATGAAGGAAGGTATATTCCATTCTGGAATTTGACTTTATGAGACTTGAGTCTAAGCGTTGCATCATATGATGAGAGGTCATTAGAACGCCACCCATCAGTCTGTCACAATAGATAAAGGAAAGTATTTATCCTAAGAAGAAGAAGGATTCCACGATAATGACTTATTTGGTAACTCGGAAGTTATGATAGAAAGTACAACATAATACGATAAGCAGATGCAAGATTAGGCATCGTCTGCAGTCAAGAAATCCATAGAGTTAAGTACTCTTTCGAGGAAACATAGAAGTTAC